TTCTTCCTTATGAAAAAAATCATGAATGTTGATAAAATATAACTATTTATTCATAACAATAATAAAGGGCAATAAATGATTAACTCAACAAGAAGGTGCAATATTTTAACATTTACATATACGGGGATACACACAAAACTTGTCCATTCCCAAATACATCAAAGCGAACGGACATATTCCCGTTACACAATATTAAACATCATTGTATTGGTTACAAAATACTCATATCTATTGATGACATTAATCATCAATGATAACCAAATCCACAACCAACCTATATGGAAACGTGACTGAAGTGGAGCTAGCACTGGAAACTGTTGATATATTTTCGCCTTCCCCATGTGACCCAAATATTTCTGTGAATATCTCGTAATTAGGACAAGTCCACACACACGCTCGAGATGTGAATGTGTCATCCTACAAAAAATGACATTAGATTTATAGACACATGTATATAATAATTCGTATAGTAATATACATATGTAAAAACCTAACAAAAAATAAACCTCTAAGAAAGACACTCCTGCGAGATTGATTGGGAAAAGAACTTGTTCTTCATTGTTCCAATGGAACATCCCCAAAGTCTCCATATATTTCATTTTGAAATGACGTCTTTTTCAAAAAATAATTACGTCTATCGCTAGCCCAGACTTAATCGTGGTACTTGCCGACGTGCGCTTATCATCTCCCACTGACGACTCTAGCATCATTCGAGGAATTCACCCGTGTTGAAAAGGCAACTCTCCAACTTAAGGTCTGTAAGACAATTCAACAGAACATCTTCTTTATTTTGTGTTTGCCTTAATCGTAGTATTGCACTACCAATTCTTAAAAAAAAAAAAAAACAATACTTACAAATTACCCCATATAAGCCTACCTCCCTTTCCCCTTCTTGTCCTCTTCTTTGTTGTTGTTTTTTCCTTTTCTTTTTATTCACCTTATCTGTAAGTTCCTTCCAAAAAGCCACCACAAATGTTTACTGTATACCTTCTCATAAATGACACCATAACTCGATGAGAGAGACACCAAATTATCACTATTTAGCGTAAACCATTGAAACCTGGAAATGAGAATAGGCTAATGGTAGACCACATAGGTTTGGTAACTGTAACTCTCCGATTTTTCTCTTCTTTTTGGAGACGTTAATTGATATAAAAAAATTCAAATAAAATAACAGAACACTAATTATCCCAATAAAATTTTATTTATCAAATAAATCTGTTAATATAAATAAATCTCCCAATATGATTAAAGCATTAGTTACCGTCTTTAATACTTTGATTACCTTGTTCTAATCTTTTCTCTAAAATCAACCTTAAAATATTAAATAAAACGAGAAAGTATTCAATATGATAATGAAAAATGTGCTCAAGGACATTGCATACCAAATAAATGAGTATCACAAAGTATCTCAATCAACAGATGCAAATATTATATTTGCATATCACACGTCATGCAGGATTTTAACACAGATCTGACACCTCACCAATCATCCCCTCCTCAACCTGATCTCACGGGTCTCTTAGTTGGCAATGTATCGGCTATTAGCTGCCAAGATCCTATCTCAATATCCAAAAAGCATGATCAATAAGATCAAAATATTCAACTTTATTTAATCGAAATTCTAAAATAACGATAGTACAAGTTGGAATACAAATCAGAAGATAATCAAAAAAATACTCCTTGTAAAGAGATTTAAGGAGAGCATATTGCATACCACCTCTTACCATTATTTGAATTCAATAATTCTGATTTCTATTTCAATCTTTTTCTTCCCCTCGGTTTAAACTAAAAACACCCACTAAGATTTGTTTTCTTTCTCCCTCTCTTCCTCCTTGTTCTCGACTAAAATGGACACTCGCACCTATATTTTTGTTCCTTTCTCTTTTACTCTCCCTCATTCTTGGTTTCCAGTAAGCAAGAACACACACACACACATACACTATTTTATGAATTAAACACACACACACATTTTTATACCATTAATTACACACATCCACATTTTCTGCAATGTATTCAATACTAGCTGAATTTCTTTATTTTTATTCTTTCTCTCTCTTTCTTTTTCTTGAACTTGTCTTGTGTCTTTTCCTTTTTTCAAAGTTTTCACNTAAAAAATTTAATTGCATATCAAAATCACAACTTTCTAGTTAGTTAAAGCCGTATCACCTTATCCAATATCCAATCCCCACATTTCCACCACCCATCTAAAATCCCACAAAATCACTCCTATTAGAAGTTGTTTGGTTGGTTTGTTGGGAGGTGTTTGGATTGACTTGTCCAAACTATTCCAAACTCAAACCCTTTTTTACAAAGATAAGATTCAACATTCAATTTCATCCATGCCCACATTTGGTATGCNTATAAAAGTTAAGATATTTATATTTTACTCCCCTTTGTTTCACTTATTATACATATCAACCACAAAACTTAAATATTCCTTATACTTTCACATCACAACTCATAATATTTTATACTTAAACTATTTCTAAAAATTTGAAATTTGACAATCTACCCTCCTTAAAAGAATTTCGTTCCCGAAATTCCTTAGTTCACCAAGAATCCAAAAATTTGTTGGGGTGCAAAGTATAACACGAGAAAGAAAAAGAATATAAAGTGTTTATTGTTCAAAAGAAATGGGTGTTGTTGAATTTTTTTAATAAAAGTATAATTACACTAACTTTCTCTCAACTCNGTAATCCAAATCCATGTTTATTTACGTATATTTTCTTGTGTTCTTATAATTTTAATATATGATTAATTTTTTCTTCCTTATGAAAAAAATCATGAATGTTGATAAAATATAACTATTTATTCATAACAATAATAAAGGGCAATAAATGANTATTAAAGCATCAGTTACATCGACATTTCCTCGTCTTTAATACTCTGATTATCTCGTTCCGATCTTTTCTTTAAAATTAACCTGAAAATATTAAATAAAGTGGAGAAATATACAATATGACAAGGAAAAATATGCTCAAGGACATTGAATACCAAATAATCGAGTATTACAAAGTATTTCAATCAACAAATACAAATATCATATTTGCATATCACACGTTATGCAAGATCTTAACACAAAGCTGACACTTCACCAATCATCCCATCTTAACCCGATCTCACGAGTCTCTTGGCTGGCAATGTATCGACTATCGGCTAGTGGCTGTCACGATCCTGTCTCAATATCCGTAGAATATGATCAATGAGATCAAGAACACAATTAATGAGATCAAAATATTCAACGATATTCAATCGAAATTCTAAAATAACGATAACACAAGTTGGAATACAAATCAGAAGATAATCAAAGAAATACTCTTTGCAAAGAGATTTAAGAAGAGCATATTGCATACCACCCCGTTCCTCAGAATCATTATTTGAATTCTATAACTTTGATTTCCATTTCATTCTTCTTCTTCCTCTTGGTTTGAACTAAAAACACCCACAAAGATTTTTTTTTTTTCCTCTCTCTCTTCCTCCTTGTTCTCGGCTCAAATTGACACCCATACCTATATTTTTGTTCCTTTCTGTTTTACTCTCCCTCACTCTCGATTTCCAGCAAGTAAGAACACACACACACACACATTTCTACACCATTAATTACACACATCTACATTTTCTACAATGTATTCAATGCTAGCTGAATTTCCTTTATTTTTATTCTTTCTCTCTCTTTCTTTTTCTTTATCTTACCTTTTCTTGTCTTCTCTCTTTTCTTTTTNTTTTTTTTTTTACTAGAAAACATTACAATATTTCTACTTAAAAATAAAAGTGTCATATGTCCTTATAACTCTAAGATGTATGCAGTTGAGCCCATATGGGACCCATCTTGAAACGCACATACCGATATTTTTTTTTTTGTAACAGAGAATACTACAATACTTCTAGTTAAAAACAAAAGAGTCATAAGTCTTTATAATTCACACACATATCCAAAAACTATCCCAATCCGAGTTGGGATGGCCATCGGTTCATACCTTGGAAGCAACTCAGTTGAGAGAAACGTAGAAGTCTTACATGCGTAAAACGTGGTCTTTTCGTTTTCTTTTTTTTTCTTCCGGTCTATTTTAAATTAATGATGGTGTCGGTGGTGGGTGTTATCTGATACCCACTGGGAGAACACACTTGAAAGGATTGACATACGTGGACAACTTTAGTTTAGATGTCTACCTCCAATGACACATCAAACTTAAGTTTTATTTTGTGGCTATAGATTAAGATTCGACAAACAAAAATCTTCAGCAGGAGTTGGCGTTTTAATCTTATCTCTATATATATTTTTTTCTATTCGTTTCTATCACATCGTATATTACTATTACAAATTGAATTATTTAATTATTTTAATTTGTGGCTCAATATATTTTTATTTTAGACATTATTCATATACAATTATGTACATATGTTGATATTTTCTTTAAGATCCTGTATTTTGAGAAAAATTGTCGGGTTTTTTTTTTAAATAATGGGTAAAAGTTAATTTCAAATTATATTATTAAAAAAGAGGAAAATAAAACTTGTTATTTGATATAATGAAATCAATTTTTTAGACTTTTAAAATTTATGTTTTATTGTATTTTCAGGCAAGAGTTATGACCAATAAATTACTAAGTTATGATGAATCAATGAGAGAGTTCTCAAATAATCACACTTGTATATATCTCTTTTTTTTGAGGGAGAGGGGATGAAGTTGGAACCCACAACAACTTGGGAGCGGAACTGAGCCTTTATCGTTGGTGCATTCCCTCACCTCAAGGCTCACTATCAATCCAAATATTATGAATGATTAAATAAGTAGATGCGATTCAAGCAGCATCACTAAGGATGTAAAGTATATAATAACAATAAGGGAAGTCCTTGAACAACCAACACTCATGCACTTATTACATTACTTGTGATACACAACCAAACACTTATTTTTATGCATACATTATTCAAAGATATACAAACATATACATTCACGAAATGCCAGTACTTGGTTCCCTTTGCCGTGAATTTCTTTAAGCCCCAACCGTGGTGATTGTGACAAGAGAGTCGATTTCGCTTCTGGTCCGGCTGAGTGTCTTCTCATCTTCTCCGCCAAACCATATTTCTGGAATTACTTGAACCAAATTATGGACTGTTTCCAACGCATAATCGGCCTCCTTGCTCTTCACAGTTTTTCCAACCTTTATTAAATAAATTGAACTAAATATTAGGATACATCTAATGTAAAAAATGAATAACTAATGACTAATTGCAGACAATTCCATAATGTAATCATTTGACAATCCATAGAGAACTTTGTCATTTTCTTATTTTTCATATCGCAACTCGAAGCCAGTGGATCACGACTTTGAATTTTATCATCACTCTTAAATATTAATTGATTGGACTTCCAGAATCGCGCGCACACAATTACATGCAAAAAGAGTTTGTAAAAAAGATTGCAAGGGTTTTATATAATGCATTATAATCTAAGTGGCTGCATCCATATCCATATCAATGAGTATTTAATTAATCGGTATTCTTTATTTTATAAAAATTTTAATTTTTTTGAGGTCAAAGGTTCAAGTTCTCTTCCTTTTGTCCAAAAAAAAAATAATTGCATCCATACGTAGGTTAGCGTGTCACGGAAATCCACGACGTAAAGGTCTACCATCCTCATTTAGTCCAAACCATCCGATAAGTCCAAACCATCCAAGAAGTCCAAAACATCAAAATTCAACAATAAACAACTGCCCTCATGTTTCCCAGGCATACTAGTATATGGTCTTAATCTCACAAATTATCCATTTTACCATTAATTTTATCATACACTTTCTATTTAAATTAGTCTCATCTTTATCTCAAAATTTGATCACGTAAGAGTGTTTAGGCACAATATTAAATAAATTTAAATACTTCGTCGGTAATTTTGGTAAAAGACGAAACTAATTCATTTATTTTGGTAAGTAATTTTTTTTATTGACTGATTAATTAAACATTCTGTATAACCTACCAAAACAGTTCGAAGCCCCACGGCTTTGCCAGCGGCAACGTTCCGGACACTGTCATCAAGAAATAACTGAAAAATACAAAGACAAAACAAATCAAAACACTTCTTTCACTCTGAACCGTTGACGATACTCAAAATCAAACCTGGTCCTACCGTACGACGAGGATCGACTACAGCGACGTCAAGAGCTGTCTTCATGGCGTCAACTGAAGGTTTGAGAACAACGGGAAATTCATCGGGACGAGTCGATTTGGAGAGGTTAGAGTTCATAGTTTCAAAGCATATGATCTCTTCAAAACAATCTCTGATTCCAAGACGATCCAACACCTTCGTCGCATGAATTCTATCTGAATTCGTAAAAATCTGGAAAATTAACATTGAAAAAAAAGGATTCAATTTCTTAACAGTTCATATAAGATGATCATATCATATAGTTGCAATGTACATGCGTATGTATAGGTTGTTGTAGCTTACGATTTTTCGTTGATTGATACTGCGCAAAAGGTTTTGTAGTTTGGCGTCTGGGTTGATCAAATCGTACGGCAACCTTCCGTGCACGAAACTGTTTCGACAGTTTTTTATTAAAACAACATAAGGATTGAAATTAACAATTAAAACTCTGAAAAATTGCTTGATTTGGATGAGAATGAGGATCTCTAACCCGTGGTAATCGTCAGCGTCAATATCATATCCCAATGCCTTCAACGAATCAATTTACAAAAATCAAACCAAGCTTAATCAGTAGTCTATTTGTTAATTACAGAAGTTTATACGGTAGATCGTAATTTAAGGTTGAAATTAAGCAAGTTCTTACTCGTAAACCAGCGAGAGAGCTTCCGTAAGTTTTAAAGAGCTCGATACGCAGCGTTGAAGCTTTTGTCTCTGGAAATCCACATTTCTGGACAAGAAAATCTGTATATATTCAAACAAAATTTGGTTAATTAGATTAGAGCCCAAATTCTCAAAAACTTCTGGTAATTTTGTGAGGTTTCGAAGAACTTGAAATTAAACTTTCGAACCATCAATGTTTCTTTTGGTTGCTTCGCCAATCCCTATCTTGGAGGAGTATAGAGTTTCATCTAAATCTGCATACAAAAAGCCAGGAAAAAAAAAACACACATACATTTCGCAAGAACATAAAAGTTCAAATTCGTTTCAATTCTTTACTGATTCGTAGTACAGAGACAGAGAAGAGGTATACCAAAGATGATGCAGTCGAAAGGAGAAGACGAATCACGACGAGCATTACTGAAAGAATCCATGGCTAATCGAAGAAGAAGAAGAAGAAAATGAGCTGAATTTGAAAGAGAGTGAGAATCAGAGATGATAATTTGGAGATTCTTTTCGTCTATGAGTTGGAATGATCGAAATGCAAGGCTTTAGCATTGTGGTGAACAAAGCTATTTATAGGCGAAGAAAGGAGAGAGAGAGATGGATAGAGCCGAGCATAGCAGAGAGAGATGGTGGTGATGACTCAGACATGGAATCTACGGTTATGTTTGGTATGTGTCCAGACACATGGAAAACATGTTTGGTCATATTTTTTCAATCTTTAATTTTTAGAAAAAATTGAGAATTAAGATGAATTTTTAGATAACATGTTGAAGCTGTTTAGCCTAAATTAGAAATAAATTTTCAGGAACATAAAAAATACGCCCAATTAATGAGATCTCACCATCCAATCTCATTAACTACAAAATAGGAGCACCGACGATTAACTCTAGTTGCCTTCTTCTTTAATGCCGAAGTTCAACGACAGCATATGAGCATCACAAAGGCCAAAGATCGACAACGAACAATTATAGTCTTCTCTCACACAATTCATCTACGCTATTTCTTTTCCTGCAGCAGATTTGAACAGATTTATATATATACAAAGATATGTGTTTATATATATATATATGTATTATGTGATGTATATAAATATGAGTGTGTGAGGGTGAGATGGAATGAATGCGTCGGTGGGTCTGCGATGCCTGTACGTGGGGGTGGGTGTTTGTTGGCTCTGTGTGTAGCTGTTGTTGGTATGTGATAATGTGGAGAGAGAGAGAGGACATTAGACAGTGGAGTTATGACGGAGAGAGAAGGTACAAAAGTATATTCGGTTTTTTTTTGGCAGAAATAATAAGTTAAAAATTAATTTTATAGGTTATTATTCAAATAGATTTTAACAAGATTATTGTTCAAATAGAGGTTCAAACGATGCGTGTATGTGTGGGTAGGTGTTTGTTGGCTCTGGGTGTGTGGCTGTCGTTATGTGAAAATGTGGAGAGAGAGAAGACCCTAGTTAGTGGACTGACTGATGGAAAGAGAATGTACAAAAGTATATTCGGTTTTTTTTTTTTTTGGTAAGAGTAATTAGTTAAAAATTAGTTTTGTGGATTATTATTCAAATAGATTTTATAATTTTTTATTCTTTAAAATTATTTTTAAAAATATATAATCAAATAAGTTTTGTAATTTAAAATTTTTAAAATCACTTTTTTTAAAAATTATTTTTTGAGATCTAAACCAAAAAGACTAAACTATTCTGGATAATGAAAACGACTTTGATTTGAAAGCCTTGGAGAGAAGGGTCCCACACGCTAGCTCCCAAAAGCAGAGGATGCATCTTTCCGTGAGGACGAAAATACCCCTGACAAAATAAATATTTTTTTGTTTTCCGGGTATAGAAGAAAGTTAATTATTATTGTTATTGCTTATAATATCTTAATATTTGTGTAACAGAAGATTTACTGCATATATGATATGTAATTGATGTTCTCAAATGCATCAAAAAAAATAAATAAATAAGGTTAGTAGTTTGGTTACGATCACCAGGACGAGTTTCGGTTTCGAATCTGACCATATTCCTTTCTTATAGTAGTGTCTGACAAAAAAAAAATTTCTAAAAAAAAAAGTTAAATTTAAGTTGATCCGTTGATTCAATTGATATTACAAAATCCATTCAAATATAATATTAATTGACTTTTCAAACATACTTTTTTGACCGACATAATAAGTATTCTTTGTTGTTTTTTTGCTATGATTAAGATGCAATTGAATTGTTTGAGTAATGATGCACTCGCTAAATTTTGGGATTAATTTGGCCTTTAAATTTAGTCTCAAAATTTAGTCAGCNCAGCGCTTAAAATAAATGTCTTTATATAGTTTTTAGGAAAGAAAATTTTATAAAATGGACATTTACGTCTTTATATCTCCACTGTGTATTTTTTTCTAAAATATTTTGTTCTGTGTATTTTTTTACAATTATGCTAATTTGGTGTACCAGCTTCCAAATAACTTTTTTTAAAAAAATTTAATTGCATATCAAAATCACAACTTTATAGTTAGTTAAAGCCATATCACCTTATCCAATATCCAATCCCCACATTTCCACCACCCATCTAAAATCCCACAAAATCACTCCTATTAGAAGTTGTGAAGTTGTTTGGTTGGTTTGTTGGGAGGTGTTTGGATTGACTTGTCCAAACTTTTCCAAACTCAAACCTTTTTTTACAAAGATAAGATTCAACATTCAATTTCATCCATGCCCACATTTGGTATGCGCACGGATATATCACTATTATAATAATATTTTGTTTGTAAATAACTATTGTGCCCCTTAACCAATGTAATCCAAATCCATGTTTATTTACGTATATTTTCTTGTGTTCTTATAGTTTTAATATATGATTAATTGTTTCTTCCTTATGAAAAAAATCATGAATGTTGATAAAATATAACTATTTATTCATAACAATAATAAAGGGCAATAAATGATTAACTCAACAAGAAGGTGCAATATTTTAACATTTACATATACGGGGATACACACAAAACTTGTCCATTCCCAAATACATCAAAGCGAACGGACATATTCCCGTTACACAATATTAAACATCATTGTATTGGTTACAAAATACTCATATCTATTGATGACATTAATCATCAATGATAACCAAATCCACAACCAACCTATATGGAAACGTGACTGAAGTGGAGCTAGCACTGGAAACTGTTGATATATTTTCGCCTTCCCCATGTGACCCAAATATTTCTGTGAATATCTCGTAATTAGGACAAGTCCACACACACGCTCGAGATGTGAATGTGTCATCCTACAAAAAATGACATTAGATTTATAGACACATGTATATAATAATTCGTATAGTAATATACATATGTAAAAACCTAACAAAAAATAAACCTCTAAGAAAGACACTCCTGCGAGATTGATTGGGAAAAGAACTTGTTCTTCATTGTTCCAATGGAACATCCCCAAAGTCTCCATATATTTCATTTTGAAATGACGTCTTTTTCAAAAAATAATTACGTCTATCGCTAGCCCAGACTTAATCGTGGTACTTGCCGACGTGCGCTTATCATCTCCCACTGACGACTCTAGCATCATTCGAGGAATTCACCCGTGTTGAAAAGGCAACTCTCCAACTTAAGGTCTGTAAGACAATTCAACAGAACATCTTCTTTATTTTGTGTTTGCCTTAATCGTAGTATTGCACTACCAATTCTTAAAAAAAAAAAAAAACAATACTTACAAATTACCCCATATAAGCCTACCTCCCTTTCCCCTTCTTGTCCTCTTCTTTGTTGTTGTTTTTTCCTTTTCTTTTTATTCACCTTAGCTGTAAGTTCCTTCCAAAAAGCCACCACAAATGTTTATTGTATACCTTCTCATAAATGACACCATAACTCGATGAGAGAGACACCAAATTATCACTATTTAGCGTAAACCATTGAAACCTGGAAATGAGAATAGGCTAATGGTAGACCACATAGGTTTGGTAACTGTAACTCTCCGATTTTTCTCTTCTTTTTGGAGACGTTAATTGATATAAAAAAATTCAAATAAAATAACAGAACACTAATTATCCCAATAAAATTTTATTTATCAAATAAATCTGTTAATATAAATAAATCTCCCAATATGATTAAAGCATTAGTTACCGTCTTTAATACTTTGATTACCTTGTTCTAATCTTTTCTCTAAAATCAACCTTAAAATATTAAATAAAACGAGAAAGTATTCAATATGATAATGAAAAATGTGCTCAAGGACATTGCATACCAAATAAATGAGTATCACAAAGTATCTCAATCAACAGATGCAAATATTATATTTGCATATCACACGTCATGCAGGATTTTAACACAGATCTGACACCTCACCAATCATCCCCTCCTCAACCTGATCTCACGGGTCTCTTAGTTGGCAATGTATCGGCTATTAGCTGCCAAGATCCTATCTCAATATCCAAAAAGCATGATCAATAAGATCAAAATATTCAACTTTATTTAATCGAAATTCTAAAATAACGATAGTACAAGTTGGAATACAAATCAGAAGATAATCAAAAAAATACTCCTTGTAAAGAGATTTAAGGAGAGCATATTGCATACCACCTCTTACCATTATTTGAATTCAATAACTCTGATTTCTATTTCAATCTTTTTCTTCCCCTCGGTTTAAACTAAAAACACCCACTAAGATTTGTTTTCTTTCTCCCTCTCTTCCTCCTTGTTCTCGACTAAAATGGACACTCGCACCTATATTTTTGTTCCTTTCTCTTTTACTCTCCCTCATTCTTGGTTTCCAGTAAGCAAGAACACACACACTATTTTATGAATTAAACACACACACACATTTTTATACCATTAATTACACACATCCACATTTTCTGCAATGTATTCAATACTAGCTGAATTTTTTTATTTTTATTCTTTCTCTCTCTTTCTTTTTCTTGAACTTGTCTTGTGTCTTTTCCTTTTTTCAAAGTTTTCACGTGGGTGAAGACCAAAGAATCATAAAAGTTAAGATATTTATATTTTACTCCCCTTTATTTCACTTATTATAGATATCAACCACAAAACTTAAATATTCTTTATACTTTCACATCACAACTCATAATATTTTATACTTAAACTACTTCTAAAAATTTGAAATTTGACAATCTACCCTCCTTAAAAGAATTTCGTCCCCGAAATTCCTTAGTTCACCAAGAATCCAAAAATTTGTTGGGGTGCAAAGTATAACACGAGAAAGAAAAAGAATATAAAGTGTTTATTGTTCAAAAGAAATGGGTGTTGTTGAATTTTTTTAATAAAAGTATAATTACACTAACTTTCTCTCAACTCATTTATCAAAATCATCTCCCAATGCAAATAAATCTATCAATATAAATAAATCTCTCAATATGATTAAAGCATCAGTTACATTGACATTTCCTCGTCTTTAATACTCTGATTATCTCGTTCCGATCTT